TTATTCAAACGATCATTTATAAAACTCGTATTTGGAACATATCACTAAATAAGAATTATTTTTTTTCTTTAAATATATAGTAAAATCCCAAAATAAATGTTAACTCGTTATTATAACTGATTCTTCCGAACCGGTTACAGAGTTGAAAAATAAGCATATTGAAAGGACGGACAATTTTTTATTTGTTATTCCGAGAAATGAACGAGACTCGGTAAAAGCTTAATAAATAAAAAAAACTAGTGTTCAACGAATATATTATACATCAATTATCAAGTATATAAGTGAAACTCTTTTATACATAAATGCCATTTTTTTCAGTTAATATTCGATTTAAGTAATAACTACTGCAATCTACAGTATGTACCTAACCTGATTCATTATTTTTTTAGAGATTATTCTACATTTCTACCTTAATCATGAATATTATTATTTACTATACATTTATTAAACAATTACTAATTATTAGATATCCAGCTTTAGTATGTTTAATTTTATATGATAAACTACAGAAAATACCTTCCTAGTACCTACACAGTATAAAGCAATAGCGTATAACAAATAAATAATATGAACCGAGGATCCTCCGAAACAATTTTAAAATGTCAAATAAAACAATCTATACATACCAAGTTAATTATTTAACTGAAAAAAAAAAAAAACGAAAACATACGTATGATGCATTATATTTCAATATTCATGTTGTATAATATGGACCTTGCATTTGATTAATGTGCATTTTAGTGCAATATGGTTTACAGATTGTGATTACCCGTAAAAAAGATCAATAATATTTTAAAAGTTATTATAATCTCGCTGTTCGCAATACACTAACACTGCTTGGAAGACTAAATATAAACGCTGATCTTCCTCCACCATTCATCAATCATTACTATTCACTATCACCGTTGTACATATTATACATATAATATAAATAATACATACATAATATAGGGAGCTTAACCATAATTCATAATATTATATACTTTATCATAATATTTCCTACAGAGGGGGAGAGTTAATGCAATCGTCTAGACGAACTCACGCAGAAAGTGGGCCACTACTGTAGAGGAGACAAATCTTATGTTTCTTAAGAAAGATTTAACGGTCATTACGAGTTACAACTACATCATTATAACGACTGTCACCGTTACTGCAGTCGATCAGCGGGAAACCAAAACATTTACTAATTATTTCGCGGTCAGATGACTGAAAACGAATTTTCCGCCTTATTGTGACTAGCGCAATACCAACCTAGAAATTGTTATCGTCCACAACGGAGGGCTGTCAGTGTATTATATGTGCCCATAATATCATGGTGGACGGAAACAGGCAAATGTACATATATCAATGATAGGCACGTCGTATTTGTGCCTGAAAATATGTACGCTGTACAAGTACAGCCAAGGAATGTCTGAAAAGGGAGGTCAATATAATATATATAATATATATAGGTAAACTGAATAATAGGTAATAATAATACAAATTCCATGTACATTAGACACTGATCTCGTTTCGTTAAAAGAAACAATACATTATCGAATTTAACCAAAGATTCTAAGCCGATTTTGGTGAAAACTAAAATGCAGGCTCCCTGACATTTTTTAAAAAAGTTTCCACGGTTGTCGATAGTTTTCTGTATACCCTTGGCACAGTAAGAAGGAAATAAAAAAATATATTTTCTGCAACTGATCCATATAGACTCTATACTCGATTTACGGTAAATAATATAGTGCCGAGTGAATCATTTGGGCACTCCTTCGACCCGGAATAGCGTTTTTAGATAAACTTATAATAATAATACCGTATTTAAAAAAAATAAATATGCATCTCACTCAGCATCAGAATAATAATGAAAATGCATTTTATATTGGCGGTAAAAACTGTGTCGCCTTGCCCACCTACACGACGTTTGCCGGAAATCGGTAATTCGATCATTTCGACCAGTCATCGTTTGTAATATGAAACGGCTGGAAAAAAAGGGAAAGTGCACGCGATTATACAGAACGACTATGGCGGCGCAAACGTGAGGTGGGTGGCTGTGGCGGCCATGATTTAAATGCAAAAATGTTTGTAGTTTTTCCAATGCGCATAACGTAATATTATTATGTCGACCCGCATTATGCATTGTAAAGTGTATAGGTATTGTAATATAAATGTGATTTCGCAAAAAACAAAAAAATAACAAAAAATGAAACAATCGGAACAAAAGGAGTATATACATATAATTTATATATATATATATGTATAAATTATACTTAGAACCGTGTACAGTGACTGTACACGCGCACTTAAGTAAACTCGTATAAAGAATGCAGATACCATCCGTTTGTCGGATATCGGTTTTGTAAAAAAAAAGGTAATATGTGTACTTCTTTGGAAGCCCTCACACACTATGAGTAATATCCATACCATTAGTAATAGTATTTTTAAACAGATAATGGATACTATAATATTATGATGTCGAGATTTCGAAGAACTACTTGAAGCCGATTTATCAACCAGAATATATTATATTTTTGTCAAGAGGGCCTCCTCATTGCATTACGGTACAGTGACTATAACATTATTATACACGCGCCGGCCATGACCGCTATCGTTACCGCTGTTGATACCAGTTATTATATTAACGACTTTTGCGAAAGGCAACACAATTCGCAGCGATTTGGTTTGCAGAAAACATTAGGTAATGACAATGTAATTCATACAACTTTTAAATCGGCAGTTGGCGAGTTCTACGCCACTCGTAGCAACGGAAAAATAACCAGGACAACATCGCGGGTAGTAAATGCAATAAAACGACCCGGATAGAAAGTAGCCCTCATTAGCCTCATTGAGGAATAAAACATATAAAGAACTTAATTTCTATATGATAAGGGCTCCCCCATGACTAATTTTTTTTATATAAATTATGATTAAAACCATTTAATAGATAAAGGCGCGCACGAGTGCATGACCCCTGCGCAGTGTCGGACCATATTATATTCCGATTCGGAAATACCCGTATATTATAATGGATGTTATAATCTAATTATCGCATATTATTTTCCATTTTCACAGCCTAAATTATATTATATTATTACAATATGTTATTGCGTTACTAAAAAGTTCACTGGTAAATATTATAATAGGCATATAACGTTATGTATTGTATTTGCTGAAGATGCACAATACGAGAGTACGAATTGTATTTATATCAGTTTCAAAGGCCAACGGATAAATACGTTTCGATAATACATGTATAATAATATATTATTATAACATGATAGTTAGAAATGTGTTTACCCTAAATATTCCTAAAAGCACAATATAAAATATAATATCATAATAGTAACAACTCCTTAAAGTGTTGTTACGTGAAATCCTGGCCATATGCCTATAGTAGTATAAACACTATAAACCCATATCATCACCTTTGAGTCCTTGGAAAACCACGTAAAAATAAATTAAAACGTTAAAAACTATAGTAATAAGCACATAAATAATATAGTACAACTTTTTATTCTATATAATTGCTCACGAGAAATTAAACATTCCCTTGTATTACTGGCAGTCATTTTGATCTATGAAGAAAGTGTAGGTGAAAGAATGATCAAACTTTCAAATGTCGTTTTCTATGCAGCAGCATATTTTGTTCACAATAGTAGGTTAGGTTAACATTCAATAAAAAAATTCTATCGACTCAAGGTCACACGTATCGCATAAATGTGCTCGAGATAAGATGTATTTATATATTATGTAAATATATCGACTCCAATGTTCATTAATTAAATATTTTTTCGGTTAGGTCCCTATTAAAATCGGAAATTTCCCCCAGCGGTAGTTCAACGTAACAGGCCAGTATATTATAGTGAGACATTTTTAATTTTAGTCCAACTATTATAAAACTGGTTTTCTGTGCGGCACACGCCCGGTTAAAATATGCATATAAACACATTGGGCATATTAATTGCTAAATTCATTTCTATGCAAAATTAAAATGATTATATTACAATAAAATGGTAAGAAAAGGTTTATTTTCTCAATAATTATATTAACACTATATTAATAATAACATTTCTAAAATATTTGATGGAATATAATATTATACTGGACGTTGTAATATATATACAAAAAATGAACATAAAAGTATATAAATTGCACACACACACACGCGCGCGTACTGGTTAAATTATGTATAAGGTAGGTAGGTACCTATATTTATTATATATTGGTAAGCGCTGAACGGACTTTTCCTTCCGTGGGCGTTTTCTGTGTCAAACCAGAAATTCATATGATTCATTAAAAACACGACCGATTAAAATGTTTGCTAGGATATTAATTTATTGAACACATTTCGATCGCTGATATCGAGATATTATATTTTATTTTTAGTTATTTCGAGCTCGATTGTGATTTTAATATTTTTTTATAGGTACTTTGATAGTTTGATGTATTCTTTATTATGTACAAGCTTCCTGTATATATTACAAGTTATAACTGTATACATATAACAATATAGGAGGTATATAGGTGTATAATATATTATGTGATTGTGGAATGTGATACGGCCGATTTACTTTTGCAAAATAATGTATCTACTCGATGACTGTTTGATTTTTTTTCTGTTATTTGGTCAACATTGTGCACTATCAGCTGGATTTTAATTTCCTGTTGTTGGCAACTATAGATAATAATATATAGGTATGTGTACAATATAATTTATATTGCATGCAATATATACGTCCATGTGTTTTTTTGAATTGTACATTACGATTTACGATAGGAAGAAAACGTGTTGCTATATTTTTACTTCGTATATTATTACGTATAAAGAAAACGAATTTTCCTTGGAAACCTATCGACGTCGTTTGGGCCGTTATTATAGACACAGCGTATTATAGAACAACGTAATCGATGGTTTTCGAAAAATAGCCGTACAAGAAATCAAACAACGTTAAAACAGTAGATATACTCGCATTGTATATAGGAGGAAAATCAAATAATAAGTAATCATTAATCACCTGATCCAAATCCGAGTCCCAGCTGAAGTCTTTCATGTCTTCGTTAATGAACGGGTCGAGCTTAAGCTCCATGTACATGCCCAAAGGGTCCATCTCTTGACAGGACATGGTCATGTTCTCCCGCAGAGTCTGTCGAATAATTATGTCGTTTTTCTCACACAGAGCGGCGCGAGAGTCAGAAAAACGGCACAAAAACGATTTGAAAAAAAAAAATTTAAATCGCAAACAACCGGTTGAAAAACCACTGTGATTTTACGGTATATTGGGATGAGGGGGAGAGGGTATTATAACGATGTTGTGTATATTATATCTCGCACTGAACTCGAAGTGAACACGCGAATCGTTCGTCTTACATTTTCCGGTGGAAAAATAAATTTCAAATAATATATATAAAATAAATTTAATATTATTATACGTCTTGCTCGATTGTAACGACAACAATTAATTATCAAATAATATTATAATAATATCAATAATATGATAGAACAAATGCACAGACACACATACACAAAAAGAAAATCGCACACACGCGTGTAAACGGGCGCAACGTGGGGACTGAATCGTTTGCCGGGCGCATCTGATATTAATGAGAGGAACGTACGAGCGCTCGCGAGAGACCGACGACCTGTTGCTGATGCCGAGGCGTGTACGGCGACCGTCGCGTCGTCGGACGTGCGTGTGTGCATCCGGCGCGTCTGGCTCAGTGGTCGGCGGGAGGGTGGGGTGGCTGTAAGTTTTGCCGACGCGCTAGCGCCATCTACCGTGTATCGCGTGAGGAATTAATATGGCTGGTATAATTATTATGATAATAATTTTATTACGAGTCACTATACATTTTATTTACAATAAATTATTATTTTAAAATATAATACAATGATAATAATAATAGGTCCAGGCCGGTTCAGTGGCGTATTCAGTACCTACCTTTTCTCGAGGAGAAATACTATATAGGTAAGGGGGCGCTCGTCTTTGAAAACTCAGGGTGGGGGAGGGACTGTATTTTTACAATAATATTGATTTTTTCTGTAGTTCTGTTAACCGGTTAACTGCTATAAGCAAAGTTGGTGTATTTTTTCATTTTTGAAAACATCGTTTTGAACAGAAAAATCAGTTTTAAATAAAAACTGTATTGCAATTTATTCATTTTTGTAAAATGAAAAATACACAAACTCTGGGAGTGTATTTATACAATATTTTTATCAATTTATCATAACTATATAATTATTTTTAAAATAAATAAGAGTATAGGTAGTTCAATTTCTAATAAAATGTAAAATATGTAACATAAATAATGCACTTTATTATTTAATTAATACAATTACTACTTACATGTCCCTCTCTTTCCCCCCTCCCAACGGATGCCCATGACTATAGGTACTATATACAATATCATAAGAGGTAAGTAGGTACAATGTACATTACAAACTACTCGTATCAGTAGCTCAATTAGAAATTTCGATTATTTACGAATACTACTGTAAGAATAATAATAACATTACCTATAGGCTATAATACAGCAGCTGATAAATTTATATAAGTTAACAAACATACCTAGACCTGACTTTTTTCTATTCACAGTAGATAATTTATAGAATAAATTCTATATTGTTCCTGACACTAATTATCTGCAGCTGATCGGTATTCATTTAACATGGTACAATCCTATTGAATTGTATTATTAATTATTATCAATAGTAGAATGTTGAATTTCCAAAAAAATCTAGGAATTACCTATCTGAAAGAGTAAAAAAAAAAAAAAAACACAGGTTGAACCCAATGAATACATTTATTGCTTCTTAATCAATGTACCTTCGTACTTTACTATAGAGTATAGACTATAATATACATTGATCAGATTAGATAATTAGTCTAGGTATAACCATATTTCATATTCATATGTCCTACGCTACACTCCTACCGCATATACACAATATATAAGTATACAACAGTGCCCAGAAATGTTCAATAGGCAGGGGGAATTTTATAAGTAATAAATAACAATGTATTTAAATACATTTAGTTGGCAACTGGCAATACCAAATGCGCAAATAAGGGGCTTTATAAGACGATGGGAGATACTCCCAACCTTCCCCTTAGTTACGCCACTGCATAATATACAGCGAGACACAACGAGCATCGTCATTCGTCATCATGTGATAAACTGGTATGAGACGATAACAATTCAGGAATTGCACTTGAGGATTAATATTAAACTTTAAAAGGCATAATAAACTTAAATATTATAATTTATATTTCCTGTATAATAATTAAAAAACAATATTCAAAATTAAAGTAAACCTACTTTGAACTATATAGGTAGCAATAATCAGTATAGTATAGTCTATAGAAGGTATTAGAAATCTGTGTCATAAAATTAAGTGTCATTAAAATCATATCTATTCTTATAAAAGTCAAGTGTAAAAATGTTATAAATTATTGCTATGGTAATGACATGATTTAAACGACTTAAACGTAACATAATATGTAAATCAATTATGCCTATATAGAGTACAATAATATGATATCATATTCCTGTCTAATAGATATATTGAGTACCTATAACTATATATTGTATTGTTCTATTTCAATAATATTTATTTTAGTATAGGTAGGTAGGTAGGTAATATAATACCGATGATATTTAGTGCATTACAAATTGTAATTAATTTTTGATTATTATTTTACTCAATATAAAATTATACACTAGCCGACCCTTCACAGCTTCGCTCGTGATTTGTTGTTTATTTTACCTTCGGACGATGATATGTATAATTTTTTATTCAAATGATAATGTGATCGGCAAGTAAATATACAAAACGGTTAATGAAAACGTATTGAAATGTTTCTAGCGGTATTAATGATAAATATATTTTTATTAAAAATATTTGATCCCGTGCACTTCGTTGCCCGTTAAATGTACCTACTCTATATGACTCAAACTTTGTTCAATTCGTTATTTAATATTCGGTATATAGCTTTCAAAACTTAACTTAACTTTTCCGTTACCCAGAATAAAAATTCTGATTCACAGCAGTATATTAGCAGATAGGCAATCTACCACAGATCGCGAACCCCGTGCTTTTTGTACGTAAGTGTATGATTTAGCTCTAGAGTATCAAAGTTATACGGATTTTGTCGGTGGATCAATATAATCAATTAATATATCCTAACCTAATCTAACCATACTAAAATCCGATGAATAAAAGAAACAAAATTTAACCATTTTTAAATTAATCTATCTTCATCCCAGAGGTCTAATCTACACACAAACGTTCATTTACATATACCTATAGCTGTTCCACAGCGTTGCCCGGGTAAAAGTTACCTCAGGTGAAATTCATTGGCAATATTATAACTTATACGCATAAGTTTAAGGACTCAAAAACGCATTAATTGCAAATATATTATAGCTGATTCAGTCCACTTGGTTGGCCGTTAAATGTACCAACTCTATATATGACTCAAACTTTGTTGAATTCGTTATTTAATATTCGGTGTATGGTGTTCAAAACTTATCTTAACTTTTCCGTTGCCCGGAATAAAGAATCTGACTCGAAGCAGTATATTATCAGGTAGGCAATCTACCTGCGGTAGATCACGGACCCCGTGCTGTTTGTAAGTAAGTGTATAATTTAACTCTAAAGTATCAAAGTTATACCAAGTTTGTCGTTTATACTAAATTCCAATTAAGGTGGATTAATATAATAAATTAATACAAAATCCTAACCTAATCTAACCGTACTAAAATCCGATGAATAAAAAAAATCCAAATTTAACCCTTTTAAATTAGCCTATCTTCTACCCAGAGGTCTAATATACACACAAACATTTATTTTTATATATATAAAAAGAAGAATGGGCTGAGAGAATGGTCAAAGACCAATGTTTGCCGCGTCTCCTTCAGTATCGATGGCGTATGGCGTTACGCAAGTGGATGTTCTCGTCTGATCGTAACTTCGACTGATTGAAACGAATGAGATTGAGACGCTCCATTAATATTCAAATTAAAAAATAAATAAATATTATTTTTAACTCCTAAAACCCATAGCAACCATTAATAAACAAAAATTTCTATCGTAAATTTCAAAATTCCTGTTTTGGCAACTACCGGAGGTGATCAATTCCCTTTTTAAATTAGCTTTATAACCTTCTCTGCGATGTCCTCTTTAATTTCAAAAAACTGCCAGACGATTCAATAAGTAGTTTCGGAGTTAACCCCGAACATACAAACAAACACTATCATTTTATATATTAGCATAGATATTGTTTTAAATAATTATTATAGAAGTAATTAATATATTTATTTTTGTGAGTATAAGTATTACTATAAACAATTCATTACGAATTATCAACATAATATCATTGATCCGAATGAGCCCTTTTCATCGGAGAAACATTGCAATATTATATTTTTATAAAACTTTAGGACACCCATGAGTATATAATGTGGAACACCTGTCATAGAGGTATTAGTTTGATGTCAAATAACAAAATATGTACCTATAATTTAAATTTAATTTTTAAATTCTTATAATATTACAATAATATAATAAATAGGTATTTTAATATGTTTACTGTTTTCGTTTTTCACACTAGCTACCTATAGGTATTATAATTAATATGGAACAAATAACAATGCTTAACATATAATTAGATGGGAATGTAATTAAACATTATTTAGACACATTATGCTAATGTTGTATAAGAAAATATTGAAATATATGTATTTCTACGGACTTGAATTGCTTTCTGTTATACCTACTAATTTATTTCTATTTTCTAGGTACATAAATAATAATATTAGCAAATAAATTAGTAGGCAGCTTAAAGTTTTGTCTTCTTTCACAAATAAAACTATAAAAGTATATTGGTATTAGGGTAGGCATTGGCGTAAAATAAATACAACTAACGTTTTGTGTACCTAATACAATAGGTATAATAGGTACCATAGGTTCGAATTAAAATAACATCGGCAAAAAAATAGAAAAACTACTATACAACACAATATTAATGTGCTTCACTAATAAATAATTATATAATATATAGTAATAAAAAACTAAAAATCTAAACTTCGATTAATAATACATTTTAGCACTTTATGTCTTTATAGAAGA